CCCACCGACTGTATGTTTACTGCTAGAATGATAAAACTTCTACTTAGTTTGGCGTTTATTTTATGAAGAAAAGTTAATCAAATAGGAGTGGACTTATAAGGGACGTTGTGATGCTGTAAACTTGGATGACAAAAATTAGCTGCATATAAAGAAGGACGAACCTTCCTCGTATTATTAAGAGTTAATGTTTACAACGCAGAACCTCCCAGGCGACGGACAAGACACTCGACTGTCGCCGCTCCCCCGGTAGGAAACGACGGACAGATATAGACCCCGGGCTGGCAATAACCCGCCTGTTGTGTCTCACAATAAACCTGGCGTTCACGCCCGCGCGGAGGCGTGTTTAGTGTTGACGCGTCATAAACCTACTTGTTGTACCCTGGCTGTCCCCTCCTCATCATCATCATCTTCTCGATCATTTAGTTTGTGTCGGTCTCAAGAGCTAGATAAAACGTTGGCTAGTATACTTTACCTCTCGAAGGTGTCAGAAAAAACAACACATTCGGTCGGTACACCTTAGATGACCTCGTAGGTGATAGAAAGAATAAAAAAAAAGACACTTTTGTCAAGTGCATCTTATGTGAGTAATGTGACAAAATACATTGTACACCATTGGCTAGTTCTCCTTTCATCTCTAAGATGACAGGTTTTAGCCAATGCTCATCTCTAAGGTGATTGTTTTTGGCCATTACTCCTTACAACTCTTAAGGTGACAGTTTTTGGCCAGTGCTCCTTATAGCTCTATGATGACAGAAAAAAGACAGCTTTGGCTAGCACACCTAACATCTCTGATGTGACAGAAAAAAACAACCCACCTTTGACTAGTGCAGTTTTGACCAGCCGGTGTCGCCATCAATCGTCCATCGACCTGACCTGTTCCTGTGCCAGACAAGTGGATACTTATTCCTCTTCAAGGTGGACGTAAAACTTGTGTGGTGGTGGCCCTGAGGGTAAATAAAACTCGGCTGTTCTCATAATCCGACTTGTGATAAAGTGTAGTGTGCGCCCCGCGGGGGAATAAAATATATAATGATCTGTGGACGAAGTTCTGACGTAGATAGATGGTGTTTGTGAGGACGGGACGCTTGAGTTAAATGCCGGCTTTATTGTGAGAGGTGTTTCCACTGATCTATGGGGTTAGTGATGTTCATACCTATATGTTCTATCGGTTTAGTGATGTTCATACCTCTATATTCTATGGGTTTAGCGATGTTCGCACCTCTTTGCTATATTATGGGTTTAGTGATGTTCATACCAATATATATATATATGTGTTCTATGGGTCAAGTGATGTTCATACCTCTATGTGCAGGTGGTTGGAGGGTGCCACCGATAGTCCCTACTTACTTCTTTTGTCTTGCCCGTTGCTGTTTGTTCCAATCTGTCTTGTTTCTTCCCGGCACTATAATATGACCGTTATAATACTGCCATGTGTTGTTGTTTTTTTAAAAACTCAAACTGAAAAACTGCCTATGTCTTTTTGTTCAAGTTTTTGTTGTTGTTGGCAGTGGTGGCGTGTGGTGGTGGTGATATTATCTCTGGTTGATGTTAAGCTATTTTTGAAAACATTCCTCATGGCACTTTAGTAAGGACACATATAGGGTTGAGTGAGTGGATGGGAGGGTGTGTGTGTGGGGGAGGGAGGG